ATTGAATGAAAAGCTCCAGCATTACTACGCAGATTGCAAGGAGTTACTAGCACTTGCCAGTAATGGTTTTTTTTCTACCAACTATGTGAGCTTGTATCTCTTGTTTTGCAGAGCAACAACGACAGGCTCATAATGCTAATATCAATTTTATTCTTTCACCAGAAGGAGAAGTGGCCAAGGGAGGAATTCGACGAGTACAGTTGGTGAGATCAAAACCGTCTGCACCGGTCAGGTTAGTCTTTAGCATTGACATTTTTTTACTAATCACAAACTTTCATCTGTTATCGGCTTATAATTTCTTGTTTTTTCTCTTCATTGTCTGTACTTCACTTCAGTAGCTTTTTTTTCGATTTTCAATTTATCTTATTGTACGAACTTTTGCAAGTTATTCACGCGCACACCTATCTTTTTTTCTTTCATCACTGTGAGAGGATGTCCCTCAGATTCACTGTATTCCAGGAAAGATGCCGAGTTTAAATTGCCTCGAGGTGAATTGCGCCGTCAAGATCTTCACCCTCCGGGTCCTCCTTGCGGTATACCTCCTGCTCTCAGCGATATTGAAGGAGAAGGCGATGATCCTTATCACGTTCCGATACCCGCAGATGATGACCTTGTACCTGTTATAAGTATGTTTTCGTTACCTACGTTCTCGCTTCCACACATTCTTAAATGTTTGTTTTTCAGTTCCCGACTTCGATGGGCCAAGTAAGTTCCCCAAATTTCCTTCCGTTCTACCATTGCGGCAACGTAAGTCAGAACTTCTCTGAGGAGCTTTAGCTCTTGTAGCTTTAGTGCACATGTTTTAGCTGCTCATCCTCCTCCTCTTGGTCCCGTTCTATCCAGGATTACTCCTGTGGACATTCCTGTGCTGCCATTACCTACAACGTCAGACCGTGAGTAGCTCGATTTTTCCATTTTTTCTGCACTTGCATCATTATCTCTGACACATATTTTTCAGCGAGTGCTGCTATATCGCCGGCTCCTGTAAATCGATGCGACCGCGAAGCACCTGTGATAGGGCCTGAAGCATCTACAGTTGATTCTGGTGCACCACAGCTCAGGAATCTGCGAAAAGAAACCCTCAAGGT